ATTTTTCTTTATTTATTCAAGTTCTTAGTTACATATGTCTTAGTTATGTAAATAGTCTTTTTAATCCACAATTACATTATAATTTTATCATATTAAGAAAATAAAGTACAGAAACCTTTCACCAATTATATTAGATATTATGAAAATTTAGATTTTTAGTAATATCTTTTTAATTTAAAATTTTTTTTCTGGTGCCCAAATATTTGTTATTAATTTGCATTTCTTTTAAATACATCAAAAGTTAAGTAAGAATTTATAATTGAACCTTATTAAATTCAATTTATAAATCTTCCCTTTTTTTTTTGGTGATCATATATGAATTAGATTATACATTGTAAAGAAACAGAGGTTCATTTTCATTAAGCATATTCCTTTTTAGCATGATTTTTTATAATAATTATCTGTCAACAGAATTGTATGCATCAGACTTATTAATGAAGATTAAATATTACTTTTTTTTTTCTTATTTATTCTAAATTAGTATTTCAATTATATTTGTCACAAGAACAACATCAACTGCTTCTATATCATGTTAAACTATTTCTATTAATATTTTTGCTAATTTTCATTCCATTAACTTTTTTAAATGACTATAAATAATTATAGGTTGCAGATCATAATTTTAGTAATTTGAGGATCATTTTTTATTTAACATCTATAATCTTGTATATAGACAATATGTATTTTTTATAAAAGCTTTTAGATTTAGATTAATGAAATCAAAGGATATAGAATTATGATACAAAATTATATTCTCGGGTTCTTCTGTTTTTACTTGATTAATCTTATAGATTTATATATTCCATCATTATAAATTTAAAAGTTCTTCAAGATTAGTTTAATTTGATTTAAGGCCTTTGACTATAATCATCTACAATTTATATTCTTTGTGCATTTGCAATATCATTATTTCCTTTCTGGAGAAGAATAATGATTTCTGCTTTTTTTGTTTTTATTTATGTAGTGAGCTAAATAATCAAATTATAAATTGTATCATCCCTATAATTTAATAAATGTATTCCACAAAACAACTAAGATTCTTGAACTTTTTTATTTTATCAACATTCTTCACAATAAAATTAAAGAAAATAACATTAAAACACTATTTAAGAAATTTGAAAACGATTTATAGCCGTGCTATTGTTAAAAAGGTCTTAATAAAGATACTTCAAGTTACTTTGGTTAAAAAATATCAAGCAACTCAAATTAAAAAATATTTTGAAAATTGAACAGGCTTCAAAGTGTGTAAGAAACTTAATTTTTTAAATATCTCTCAGTGATTGTTTTATGTCTTAATTTTTTCTCTCTCAATCTCTAATAAAAATTGTAAAACTTATATTAGTGAAATTCTTGAAACAATAATATTTATTGATGTTATCGAATCTGGTCTATCAACTCAATTATAAGAAATCAAAAATTAAATTATTGTAGCTAGCATTCTCACACATTAGATTAAAAAATAGCTTAAATTTTTATTTGAAAATGCGATGTCTTAGATCATGAGTAAATATATCAATAAATAATAAACTTGTAGACAATAAAAAAAGAATTGAGAGGTTTATGGTTTGATTCATTTATCCCAATAAAGCTATTAATGCCAAAAACTTACCTTAACATCTCTTTTTTATAAAATTAAATATATCATAATAACTCATTTTATATTCTAAATTCATATAATATTTTTAATTTACATAAATAATACAAAAATGAGTTTAAATTGTGAATACTGTCAATATATTTGTATTGTTCTGATTACTTCTTGATTTTAGACAGTATAAGTAATAATATTATTACTTATATATTTGAAATGATAATTATATATTTAATTATTTTAAATGATAATTATATATATTTTATATTATTCATATCAAAATATTATATTATCTAATAATTTTATTTTAGATTAATTATGAACACCTACACATGGATATAATTCTTATGATGTATCTATATCCAACTACTAATAATCGATATAATATTTACAACAAATGTTAATTATGGATTATTCTATCTACTCCATTTAATGTATTTATGTTCAATACATACTTCAATTATTATTATATCATTATTTGTAAACATGAATGATAATCTTTTTTCATATAAATCTTTGTTATGATGTGAATAAATATAACCATTATTTTATATTAAATATGTTCTATTATAATATAATTATATACCCATACCCAGTTTAATAACACTAATGATAATTATATTTCTACATAATGTCTCTAAATCCTATTCCAACATGAAAATTTGATCCACTAAGTATTTAAAATGCAAACTATATTTTTCCAATCTTTGGAATTGCTTATTCACAAAGACAATAAAAGTAACCACTATTAGCAACTTCTGCCACAAGTTTTCCAGTTTCACTTAGTTAACAATTATTATGTTTATAAGTATTTGAAAATGATAATAATTTATTATATTATTGAATCTAAAAATAATATAATAAATTGATTATAATAATACTTTTTCTAATTTAATTTTATTAATTTAATCAAGTTTACTTAATGCTTCTTTTAATTCTGATTCTTTTTAACTTAAATTTTGATTAAATT